ATATACATGCAATTGTTCTCAACACTCACGAACTAACAAACAAACTCCTATTTGTTAAGTGCAGCTTGACAATAATTGCTACTACGAATCATAAAAGAAACGATGGCTTACGCGCTGTTCAAAAAAATATATACCCACCTCAAGTCGCTTGTGCGTAAAGGACTTAAGCAGCATCAATTACAACTGCGACATTTGATATAAAAAAGGTAAAGCTATCCTGTTACGCCTCATGTCGGCGATCAGGGGAGTGGAGGTTTAGCTCCTACTCATTCTCAACCTCGGTACTAGATGAGGGTGAGTGGTCAACATCACACCCTGTCCGCGCTTTATCCTATTTCTCCTTCTTTATCACGCCGTCTCTTTACAGGAGGTTGGCGACACTTTATGAACAGGATCCTTCCATCCTTTTCTTGGACTGGGACCTGTTCATATACGTTATTGGCAGATGGTCCAGAAGTGGTTTGCCATTGCCTTCTTCTGTGTGTGAATGGAGTAATTGTTGGGATGCCACGGAGAAACCGGGGAAGCCCCCGGAGGAAAACTCCGTGTTGCCTAGACCACGGCCTTGCCCAACACAAGTTATAAATTCGGGCATCGCCGGCAATCGAACCCGAGACCCCAGGATTACAAGGCAAGCGTTCTAACGATGAAAGAAACGAAAAAAGATGCGAAGTTCTGTTCGAGAATGAAAACGTGTTCTGCTTCGTGAATACACTGTGTTTGCACCCGCACAGCTTTTGCGCAACTCGCATGTGCAGCGGCCTAGTAACAAGTGTGACCTTGACTCGAACACCACGTGGAAGATTGGGAGAGTGAACCTGCTACTGATTTTATTTTTGTATCGATGTACATTAATGTTTTTCTCTTGTTTTGAGTGTTACGCATTGTACGTAGAACACGTAATACCAAGCATGGAAAGGGTTTACGCACGTACCAAAAGGCATTCTGTCGTGTTCTTAAGCCGGGAAGCGGAGTCCCAGATTAACTGTGCAGGGTGAGGCTGATGGCGGTCAAGGCCATGCATGTTGATCACCGGGCGGTCAATATGCAGGCGCAAGAGTGCGCCAGCCAACGCTTTATTGCAAGGAATGTCGCTCGCAGCTCCACCATATGTTTCCGACGGAGCAATGTAGTATCAAGGGCGTTGTTATCCTAACCCATCGACAAGTATTGGAACATAGGCAACATACATTTGACCGCCATCTTAGCTAGAACCAGTCTGAGATGTAATAAACGTAAAGTAAGAAGACATTAACATCGCGTGATTTTACTAGAGAAAATTTTATTTTCAGTTTGTTTTAACCTCAGATCTGCCGAGGAGGTTGATTTAGTGGACTCAATGACTGGTATTATGAGATTTCTCAATGTTTCGCCCAGTCTGTCGATGTGAATGCTGCAGTAGGTCACGACCTTTTTCAAATACCACAATTCGTGATCGTCTTCGTGTTTAATTCTGCTTTATGCAATTGGGGCATTTCTTTCAAATAACAAAATATAAATGTTACATCGAAAATCGACAAGAACTACTACGAATAAATTATAACGTCTGTTTTCCTGATGGGTATAAGAGGAACTATAAAATTAATACGAATACTGTTATTCATACAGTTTAATTATCAATTGATGTAATTTACGTCATTTTCGCTTGTACAGATATTTACAAGAAAGAAAGTAAGCGCCAAGTTTGTAATTTCTGACAAAGAAGAAGATGTTTTGCAAAATATTTGTAGGTATAACTGTGATCTATGTTTACGCATTATTTCACGTGGCTATTTCATGATTTGTTGCCTTCAGATCAAGAAATACTGATTTCGCGCTGAGGCCATTTTATCAAAGAAGAAGCACCGATGTCCCGCCCACATCGGAAGACCCCCAGGGCTGCCATGTTGGAATCATTGTCGGCAGGGAAGTGCGGAGACGGGTGGGGTGATGTTCATTGCTAATTCCACGAAAATCCGTCAACTGGTTCAAAACTTGTTGTGGGAGACACAAGGACATCATACCGTAAATCTATATTTTCTTTGTTTCAAGTTGTGTCTTGAGGCATCGCGAAATACTCAGTCGGTAAGTAGAGTGGCTGTGGGCTTCGATTAACAGTGGTGGAAGGGCTTTTTGTCTCTGCTATGACATGCAACCGGTTTTGGGACCCATCATTCGTTACGAGGAGAAGGGGTTTTTCAGAACTTGTTTTCTTAACGAAACATGCTAAGTGAAAGCGAATGTTCGCCACTTACGTACGAGGGAGTCTCTTCTGAGGCGTGCGCAGTACATCCTTAACAGTATACAGCAACGTTCTGTACAGGATCTACATATTAATATTTTATAGAAGCTATTTACAGGCGTCTCCAACACCGAGATTATTTGCAACCTATTTGGTTTACTAACTAGCAACTTCCCCATTGAATATCAACGAGCAATCTTATTCATTACACATTATTTGTGTGTCAAACGTTTTAGATGATTGATTGCTTGTGAACATATAAGCGTCCAGTGATGTATAAAAACACTTTCATAATTTTAAATGTTTATATGACGGTTAAAATATACGTAACTTCGTGCCAAGTGAGAGTTATCACAGCTGCGAGTATGAAGACGGCTGTCTTCTGGGTTGTTGCGCCGTGTAGTAAAGTTTACCGACGTTTCAGAGGTTTTTACTCCCTCCATCATCAGGGCGATGATGGAGCAACAACTCAGAAGACAGACATCTTCATATCGTAATGCTGTTAAAACTGACATTTTAATTCTGCTAAATTTTCTTTACAACTTATATTTTAGCATAGTTTAAGCAATACAAAATTTTAGAGACTTTATTTTACTGTTAAATATTTTATGGATATTGGAAGATGGAGGCATACATATGACTCTCGATTTAAACTACATATTTACCTTCCATGTATTTGGGATAACTTTAGTGCAAGAATTGGAATGTCTGTCAATTCCACTTGAAAACATAGATTTTTATCTGTTACTAGTTTTCGTTTATGCGGAAACATGGACCTTGTACAAAATGCATGTATATAACTCTGCAAAATGTAGTATTTTAACAAGCGCTGAACAATTCTGTTAAACCTTATAAATATGTAATATACGAGATTTCACAGTATAAGTGCCCTTGCCAGACCCTGATTATCCCCACATACAAAATTAATATGAAAATTTTGAAACCACTATCAAAAGAATACAGACTAGACTCGGCCCGGTAGAATTATGTACGATGTACCTCGCGAGGTTCGATCCAAGGATGGTAGGAGCGCTACCAGCGACGGTCCGCTGGTTGGGTTGCACCCCTGACCCCCAGCTGAGCTTACAATTGATTGGGCAGAGCAGGGGGTTTGAACTCCCCCTACTACCTAGCGTCTCTGCACACATAAATGAAGTTTCATTTGAAGAGATGTAATCATGATGGATGAGTTATGACCTTGAAGCCAAAGAATATCTTTAGCGAAATATAAATTATTTTGCTACTGTGTGCGGTTTCTTAGGCATTGCAATTCTTTATGTAGCAGTAGTTTTGTTAGGAGAAACCAGAAGTGTCAAGTCTTCTTTTATTTAAAATTTTAGTATTAAAAAATATGAGCAGGGATAGTTCAGTCAGTATAGTGACTAGATACGGGCTGGACGACCGGGGTTCGATCCCCGACGGGGGCAACCGGTTTTTTTTTTCCTGTGTCCAGACCGGCTCTGGGGCCCACCCAGCCTCCTCTACAATGGGTACCGGGGTCCTTTACAGGGTAAAGCCGGCAAGGGCGTGATGCCGACCACTCACCCCCATCTAGAGCCGAGGTTAAGGAAGAGAGGAGCTATACCTCCACTCACCCCAAACGCCTACATGGCGTATAGTGGGACAGCTTTACTTTACTTAGAGTATTAAAAAATACATCGCCATCATCCAATGATCCAGGTTTTGCTTTCGTATTTCGCATGTAATTTTCTAGAATTATTTATTTGATAGCACTTCACAGTATGTAACTCACTCAATGAATGGTTACTTAAACCTCTTCTTTATAAAGTTTTTTTGTCGTGGCTTCCAGTTGTGCCGTGTTCAATTTACGCTACCTACAGACTGTACAGCGATATTTTGGCATAACTGCACTGTCAAGTGACCTATATGATACTGAATCAGACTTTTGGCGCAGATTAAATAGCTTATAATTGTCAAAGGGGTCATATATAATTATCAGAATTTAGATAAAACGTTTACGATCCATCATATTGGTATTCGTGACTTCGTTTAGGCTCGCGATCCATAGGTTGAGAACTAGTGCTCTAGTTATCTCGCATTTCAATTTCTGTACCTAAACACAAGCCTTGAGAGTACTTTCCTTGTGTGAATTTTGACTTTCTGTACATTGTATGCACCAACATATTGGAGTTCTCTCACCTGTAAAATAATATAATATTAATGAAAGCTGCCCAGACTTGTTTACACGTGTAGCGTTTGATGACATCATCCCTTAGTACGCATTATGAACGCAGAGAGCAGCATTGACCTGCAATCACTACGCGTGGTATTGCTCATTTGTCTGTGGTAGAAACACGCCTAAACAAATGAATGACGCTCGGCGTGTGCAAGTACTAAAAATTTGTAACCAGTGTTCTGTAGTTCTACGTTCAGTGTACAAATAATTTGTTTATTAAATGTGGATGTCAGTCCAAGCAATGATTTTATTATAACTTTCTTAGCGTGTCTGTGGACTTTCTTTGGCTTAAAGAACTATAGTTGTAGTTTATGCGAGGCTTCCCTTGTAATTGTTTCTGTTTAAAAATGTCATTTTAGCACTGAACGCGAATAATGTTATGAATTGAAGTATATTTCTGTCTTCGAGTAATTCGAAAATAATTTATTACGGTTTCCATTCTTTTGTACAGACAGTTGATTTCGTTTGTATTGTGACTGATATATTAAAGAACAAGATGGGTTAAGTCTGTTCCGAGTTCTTGTGGTAACGAAGATATGTGGACAGTTGGTAAGTACAGAATTAATATTTCGCTTTGCTGAAAGTATGGATCTGAATCGAATGCTATTCGAAGCAAAATTGAATACCAAGTAGCTATTTTTCCCTTCCAATCTGCATTGTACCTCATAAATAGCCCATGGCAAAACTTATGATTTGATCTTACTGAAATTATCGTGTGTTTGGTATTACTACATTTAACATAAAACGTAAACCGAATTCAGCCAATTGGGTAAATTGGTCCGGTTTAAGATACACTATTTGCAATATTTTAATGCTATCTCTTAATTCATATTTACTTCACTTATCACTTCTTATCAAAATAATAAATCACTCTCATTAATGTAATCAGTCTGTTAATTTTTATCATTAATTTCCGTGTAAAAATATGATCTTTATGTGCTTTTAAAATTTTTAAAGACAAACTATGTATGAGATAGTATTTTATATTATTTCAATATTTTACAAATTATGTAGTTAACCACGAATAACTTCAATTTTAAACAGGGACATCTCTGACAAATCATTTTCTCCACTCGAATTACGAGTCTATTGTTCATATTTAGGATGTTATTATGCAGTGATTATACCATTCATTGTATATACATTGTAATAGCCTGTTTATTTTGTATTATAGTATTTTTATAAGTGATTGTAATGAATTCGGGTGGAAGAGTGGACGGGACTTATTTGACTCAGGATTAGTACCCGATGGCAAGATCTTATGGACACAGTAATGAACCTTCTAGTTCCATAAAAGTCAGGGAATTTATCGATTAACAGAGGGAATATCAGCTTCTAAAGAAGGTCCCTGCTCCATGGAATTGCTTCTTTCATAGAACATTCGTACAGAATGTCCCAAAAAGATGTATACACATTATAATACAGTGACCGCTTGTCAGTCAGTAAATTGTGCCACGAATCTGACGGTGGTCATTTTGAACACCTACAATAGATTCGCTAATTCAGTAATTGCCAGTGCTAACGTATGTAATGGTTTAGTTTATTAAAATGTCTCTATTTCATTCATTGAATTTGTGTGTACATATTTTTGGAACAGTCTGTATTAAGACTTGTCTATGTTATTCACCACATTTTGTGAACCGGTTTACCGAACCTTTTACAGCTCTTAAACCGTTGAATTGAAACAGAACGAGACGTGATATTACTTTGAAAACAGTACCCGGACTGAACCTTTATTTAAGACTTATCACTGCCCCAATTTAGAGATATGCCACCATCCTCAGTAATGTAATAGCCAGAAATACTGTGAAAAGATGAAGCCCTATTCCATAATGTCATTATTGAAAAGAAACAAACATTAGACGTAACAAAGTAGCCTTCTCCTTCTTCTTATTCTCCTTCTATGGCTCTCCGGTCCGTATTCGGTCCATGGCCTCCTCAATTCACCTCTTCCATTCGGTCCTCTGTTAGGTCCGTCTGTCCGAGGCTTTGATTGAGGTTTCGGTGCAAGGTTGTTAGCCTTGTGACCAACCCCCAACCTGGAGGACCAGGGTACCTGTCTTAAGCCCGGTCTGCACGTAACGTCTTATCGTACGTTTTGTTTGATCAGTTAAGACGTATCAGTCAAAATGTTACGTATGGACAGAGAAACGGACGTTTTGCCTGAACTGAATGAAGACGGACGTCTCTCAGAAAACGGATCGGTTAGAGCATTGTTTTCCGGTAAAACGTCAGTCTTTGTAGCTTCTACCTGTCGCTAGAAATCTTAGAGTAGCAGTCAGTCTCTCATGGGGTGTGATAGCCCTTCTCATGGTAGTGTCCTTTTTTTGTATTTCTGGAGTTACTAACGATAGTAATTTCAAATAAGTGTCCGTATCCATTCGTAAATAATTACGCGAATCTTCAGGTTCATGACGTAATTCCCGAAGCAAATTCACATGAGAGAATCTGCCCCTCTTTAGCAA